TTTAGTCGAACTGAATCCCTAAAAATCCAATGCAAAACTACGCACCGTTTACAGTGTTTAACAAGAGTAGACTAACATTTGTAAGTCTGGCGTCAAATTTTGTTTATGCAGTTTTGTTTATTATATATTATTTATGACTTATATGATTGGATAGAGATTTTAAAGACATGTCCTTTTTATCTATCTACCTTTCAAGTTTGACCACGTACTGATCTCACTTAAAGAACCACTGAAACCTAGTCACAGGGACTACTGGATAGCTGTTTCGTTAGCCGTGTCTGTGACTCATTGACAGTACGCACCCACCACCAGGGTTCGAACCAAGGATCTTCAGTTTACAAGACCAGCTTATATGCCATTAAATCGGGCTCCAGTAGCTGAATGGTATACGACCTTACCCTGTAACCGGAAGTTCCTGGGTTCAAACCCTGGTGGTGGTGCGTGTTATTGATGAATTTTAAACTAGGACGAAACAGCTTCCTAGTACTCCCTGGTTTTCATTGTTTCTTTAACCGATGTCAGTCAATGGCCAAACTCGGAAAACAAACCAAATCCTTACATATCTATCCTTGTTACTTTAATTTCGATTAATTTCTTTGAAGAAATTCCGATCAGTTTGGAATTACCTGCGTCAGTTTCGCTGAGATTTTAAAAATATAGTTTTTTTACATATTTGGAAACAGAGGTGATGAAGATTCTTGGGCAACACCAAAAACAGCAGCAGACAACAATCAGCCAGCATAAGTGGAAGAAATCTGTAAGAAACAACCTCCTTTACCCACCTGGGAAGCATCGTTTCAACTACAGGCGGACGCAACTGATGAGGATATCATCCAAGTGAGAGTCGGAAAAGCAAAACAAGCTTCCATTACTCTGAAGTCTGTGTGGAGGTCGACAGCACTCAGCATGAAAATCAAAATAAGATCCAGATTTTCAACTCCAGTGTGAAGTCAGTGAGTGCTTGTCACTATACGGATCAGAGACTTGGCGCGTCATAAAGAGCACCTCAAAAAAACTACACACCTTCATCAACAACTGTCTTCACTCAATACTCAATATCAGATGGCCGGAAAAGATAAGCAGCAGGGATCTCTGGGAGCGAACCAATCCAGCAGGAACCGATTGTGCAACAAATGGAGGTGGATTGGCCACGCTCTTAGGAAACCATCAAGTGACATCAAACGACAGACCACCGCTCAAGTGGAACCCGAAAGGGAGGCAGCGAGTTGGTTGTCCAAAGTTGGCCTGGAGGAGGTCATGTGAAGAGGAGATGAAAGCACGTGGGCAGACGTGTAGTCAGGTGAAAACTTTAGCAGAGAACCGAACTCATTGAAGACGTGCGGCTGAAGCCCTATGTTCCTCTAGGAATTAAAGGAAATAATAATAATGTTGTTGTCACAGTGTTTGCCTGTTTTTGAATGCATTTAACTTTATAAGAAAGTTTATTGCATAAGAATGTTTGTGGAGGAGTGAGTATTCAGCTGAGAAGTCCCATCAAAATTTATGAATTCATTATGTACTCCTTTTTTCAAAACCTAAAAGCCTTTACAATATGATATTTCCAAAAATGTAACACATTTTACGGTGTGTCATGGGAAAGTGTGATTTTATTTGTGAATATGTTTTTTATAAATCGATAATCTATTTAGAGCGTAATTTTTTATGCCTTGACTGGTTACTAGGGGGTAGCCAATATCATGTGTCTGGATCTTAGTGTTAGTGCTATCTGAATTCAATAAGTTCATACTGCTGCCAATCCAGGTCATGCACTCCTTTCCACTAGGAGTATGCCAGTTTGATGTTAGGTGGCTAATGGCAGTCGGTGGGGGTTTTTTGGTGTAAGTTTCTAGAATCATAAAGGTACTAAAACCTCTTTCCCCTTCACAAATTTGAACTCGCATCACTCACTGATATAGACAGTACTTCCTACTTTTTTTCCTTCACGTCCGCCAGTGGAACATTGGGCTCCAAGCTGGTGGCTTGAAGTTTCTGTAGTAGTGTTTTCAATTTTACAGGATGGGGTTGCTAGTCTCATGCCCAACCTTTCCTCTTTACCAACATTATTTCTGGCTTAGCGAGGTAAAGGAGTGCGTCTCTGGCCGGGGGTCGAATCCCGGACCATGTGAATGATCTGCGATCATCCTAACCGCTATGCCACCAACGCACGTACTTACCAAATGATAGCCTTAATCACCTGCCTTCAGTATTTATATTACGCACAAATCGCATTAACGCTTTGTCTTTCAATCTCTCCCCATGAACTTAATGTTTTAAAAAAATATAACAGATGATTTATATTGCTTAGAATAATAATTATAATCATCGTCTGACCAAAACTGTCCTAGATATGGTAGTTTTGAAAGGCAGTAAAAGTGTATGCTGACATTTATATACCTAAAGTGATTACCTATTTTTAGAAGCGTTTGTTATTTTTAGAAACAATTTGGAATCAGATCAATAAGTCTATGTAATAACAGAAAATTAGGTAATACTATGTGGTATATTTTAAAAAGCGCACTTTTGAACTTAAAGTTTTTATTTGTAACACCGTAGTTTATGTGCTTCATTAAAATACCTATTTAACTTTATTGTTGAGCTTTTTTCAAAATGATGGATTGTTTCTGTTATGTATTGAGACTTTTTTAAAATTTTTTCCTTTACATTCATGCCTTTATAGCTAATAAGTTTCGGTACCAGTGGGCTCATTATCGGGGCTGAGCGAGGTTTAGGAGTGCATTGGTGTACCGCATGAAGCGTGATTGCCTGGTGAGCATACAGTCGCTGAACCACCGACACACAGATGTCGTCATCTCATACGTCACGACAGTGTCATACTTTTTATTTTCTGTCCACTGAATATTCTGAAGCATTTCGACTAGTTTTCTGGGGTAGGGTCGCTAGCCTCACGCCGAATTCTTCCTCTTTCCCAGGTTTGGAACCACCTAAAGAATTGGCAAGCTAGTAAACAATCAACGGGAGAGATTTCACAGATGTCACTTCGTTCACTTATTTGGGAAGCACCATTTCAATCACAAGCAGTCGGAATGGATGAAGATTTGAAAGCCAAACAGGATCGGTAAGGCAAGAGACACCTTCATCAACACGAAACCAGTCTGGAAATCTTCTGCACTCACTCAGCGTAAAGAAGAAGTTTCGGATTTTCAACACTAATGTTAAGTAATTCACTCAGTTCTTCTAGATGGGTCAGAAACTTGGCTTACGTGTCACAAAAAGTATTTCTAACAGGTGGCTGGAAACTCTTATCAACAGCTGCCCACTAATCTTGCTCCATACTAAAGAGCCAATGGCCTGCTGGCCGGAAACAGTCATCGGCAAGAAGCTCTGCAGTATAACAAACCAACCAAGAACCTATCGCTCAACAATATGTAGGGGAAATGGAGATGGATTTGGCATGCGTTGGGGAGGCCGTCACATGAAATCCGGTGGCAGGCAACTGCTCGAGTAGAATTCGAATAGGAAGCGACGAGCTCTTCGTCAGATGAGGAGGTTGTGCGAGGAGGAGATGAAAGAATATGGGCAGTCGTGGATCCAGCTGGATAGGAGAGAAGAAAATCGAACACAAACGGAGATGTGCTGTTAAGTCGAAGTGATTTTCCACTCAGAACCCGAGAAGGCAATAATAATGTAATAGTAATGTCATATAACTACTTAATTTGAAGAGATATTCCCGGGTTTCTTACGTCAGTGAGGTTAAGTGGTTGGATTATAGTTGTAGTCTGAAACACGAGCATAATTCCAAAAGTAACACGTTGGCACCGATGGTTGTTCCCCTTGGACTATCAGAACTACATATATATACATATGGCTTCTCCATTTAAAGGAAAATTTAGAGGGAGTTCCTCCTAAGCAATTGCAGACACTATTACATTAAACAGCTGTCTGTCTCACTTGAAGAGAATTTTATCTAGCATTCCCAGTGCTTCATATAAGAATAGAACCTGGCCATTGTGGTGGAGTATAGCTCCATTATGGAGAAGATTTATTCTGATAAACTCTCACACAGTGTCATACGCTAATGTTTACGGACAACGTTTCGAGCACAGTTTATTGCTCATAATCATATGAAGTTCCCCACACAACTCTCCAACTTCGTCTATATAATTCCATTATTTTTCATCTCTTGATTGTAATATTTTCCATATTTCTGGCATCAGTGATGAGTCATTCCTATCGCTTGTGTTCGGTGTAGATTCGGTTATCCAGGATTCAGTATTCAACCTCTCTCTCTGTCCATCTATATCACTCTTTTAGAATTTAACTCTGTCCCACCCTCTTCTGTGGTTGTGTGTTAATACATGCAGGGCAATTGCTGGGCAGTTTTTTCTAAATTACTAATATTCGTGGGGCCAATCATTCTAATTTTAGCTAAATTATTATGTTCTGATGGTCTGATCACCCCCCCCCCTTCAATCTGCTGGTCTCACTGACCTATGTAGTTGACTTAACACAAAGCCATCGTAAGGTATCTTGTAAATTATATTATTTTGCCTAATAGGGTCGACTGACAGAGTCCTTTAATCCACAGAGCTTGTCCTAGCTAAGTGAATTTGCAGAATTAAATGCAAATCTAATTCCTACTTCATTTAGAATCCTACTTAGGGTTTCAGATGTCCCTACAGGATTAGAACCAAGGACCTTCTGTTTATGAGGTGAGCTCGTGGACCATTGAGCTACTGAGATCCGGTTCAATGAACAGCCCATGAATTCCAAATTCTTCCAGTTCACGACATAGCATGACTGGTACTAGTCAATATCGTCGCTGGCGAGTATTTGTCCTCACAACAGACCTGCTGTACCCCACTGTTCAAGACTTCCAAATTATGTGGTGTGAGCTTACACTATTGTTAAATTGATTACTGTTATTCTAAAAATAGAGTTTAACTACTTATTTTTATGAATCAGTAGTTAATGTGAGCAGAGCAAGTTGGATTGGAATTATGAACGTATTTAAATCATAAAATAAAACATGTACTGCTTACCAGTTTCTTGAAGATTACTTCCGGCTTTATATCCATTTACTGCCAAGGAGATTTGACGATCCTGTGAGTTAAAAAACAGAATTATTTAAAAATTGGATTCGAATACGTACGTAATACAAAAGTTTGCAAAATATATGCCACTGAGGATGAGAATCTCCTATTGTTCCTTTGATTACTTTTATACGCACCTAACTTTGTGTTATTTACAGTTGGTGCAGTATTTATATCCTGGGTGCTCGCTGTTATTGGAACACTTTGTAAAATAAAAATATCGTTGAGTTTTTTTACTTGGTTTTGTGAGCATATACTCTTTTGTAATTAGTTCTATTCCTATCTGATGAGATGCAGGCGGGGTGAGTTGTGAAAAGAGACGATTTTGAGAGCGAGGCAACATGGATCTAGACAGTGTCTCACACGAGTTCAAGTGTCTGTCGAATAAAATAGTAACGAGCTGACTGACAATCTCTAATACACTTCGTAATATAACATAGGCCTTTTTGAATAGCCCAGGAAAGACAGAGTGGTAGAAGTAAAGAGCACTAGGCAAGGTGGAAGAGATGAAAAACTGTGAAAGTAATGGTAGGGGGATTCCCATATGGTTATCTTAATTTCTTAATGTATGAGGTTAGGCTGGTCACTTTCTTAGAAATTGACAATAGGATAACCGACCAAGAAATTTCAGAGGACAGAAGTATTCTAAGGTGTTTTATGCTTGAGTTGGTTTCTATTTCATTGCCCTCTATGCTACAAGCATCGTGTGAGTGAGATAGTCTGTTTACATCACGTTTACGCCAGAAGGTGAAGTCATTTGTCTGATATTTTGAGGGATTTAACGTAAGAACATATAGGTTGGTCCACTGGCTTATGTTCACCAAAAACTATTCAGTTTCGAAGTCAGACAGGGACGTAATTGGCAATGAGGTCAGATTACAAGCGTATTTAAGAAGCCGTGAAACCTTCACAGAGAGTCATCAGAAGTGACTTTCTACTTCAGTAAACTGTCATTTAAAGAAAGGATTCGTTTCTGAAGAGTATTCTCATTTTTCTAATGTTATGAAAGAAAGGATAACAGAATGAAGTAGAGTGATGAAAGCTAATTCATGCCGGTAATAGACTTACGGAGAATGAATTTATCACAAAACTCATATGGTTGTTGGAATTTAGAGCCGAGGGCATCAAAAAATGTATAAATAATCTACATAAATCCCATAAAACAGCTATATGACAATGGTACGTATTGGGTAATCGACAACGCAAAACTCAGCGAAGCATTTCAGGCGAGGACAGGAGTAGGACAAGGCTGCTTACTATCACCAATGATGATATTCCTAATTGTGGTGGACTGGATTATGTCTACTATGACAGAAATTCGAAGACTTCCCAGCAAAATCAACAAGTTGTTAGAAGAGACAGACGGCAAAGTTAGTATCTCAAGTGAACATAGAGAAAACGGAGGGGATGAAGACAACATACCACCAATAACAAGCACCAACCACTATTACTGGAATAAATTTGGAAGAGATCAGTTTACTCTTTCATCTAGGAAGTATCGTACCAACGACAGGCAACAGTACGGATGAGGATTCAAGAACTGGAAAGTCAATATAGACTTTCATTACACTCTGAAATCAGTTTGGAAATCTTATGTACTCTGTACTAATCACCAATATTAATTCAATGAATTCTTCTACATTAGTCAGAAACTTAGTCAGCGCGTCGCCAAAAGCAAAGACAAAATCCATCTACAGACGTTCATCAACTGCTGCCTTTAATATTTTGATAATGAAGATCGGACGACTGACCATGAAGAATCGGCTACAAGAAACTCTGCAGAGGAACTAACCAACCAAGAGCCATGCACTCAATAGTTATGGTGGGGAAAATGAAAATAGTTTGGTCACATGCTAAGGGGACCATCGAATGACATCGTGCTCCAGATCCTCGAGCGGAACCCTCATGGGAAGGGACCATTAGGGTATGGGTTCGACGTTGACATGAATGAGATCTTTTGGAGAGGAGGAGATAGGAGACGATGGTCAATCTAAGGAGGACCTCACAGTATAGGACACAGTGGATACGTGCTGCTGAAGGCCTTTTCTCCACTCAGAACCTAAGAGAGCAATGATAATAATAGCTTGGTAGAACTGATCATACCACTAATCAAATTGACAATTTGCAAAATAGTTATCGATGTGAAATCTAGACAGTTTGAGAGATGAAATTTCACCGTTGAATGAATCCATGAATGAATTAAAGTGTGCACTACTGGTTCATAGCAGTGGTATGCAACTACTCACCATGATGAATCAGTAGTATATAGTTTTATGCAAATTTATTTGCTAACCTCATTACCATTCATAAAAACAAACAGATTACTCACATGCCATGAACGGAATAACGTGGTTTTCAAAGGAGACTACAGTGACACTTCACCACTCAAACTGTAAATTGCCTACCAATATGCAATTTGGAAACATTTATTCCCCAATACAAATTTGAAACAAGCAACAAACGTTGTTAATAAAGCAGGATCTAATGAAATCATTAGATTTCGGTAGAAGCACTCTTCAGCTGCATACTCTACATACATGGAGCGATATAAATTTAAGATATAGATATGATAGAGAAGATTTGTAGCTCAGGTGGATGATTTTGATGTGGTTGTGTTCTCTGAGCTGGATAGTTGATTTGCGAAGCTTTCATTACCCTACTAGGTGACATCTTCAGCGAAAAACATTACATTGGCCAAAGTAGACATCCCCTTTGTCTTCGTATCCACGAACATAAGCTAGCCGTCAAAAGACACGAGATCCACTCCCTCATTTCACTACACACAGACAACCACGGAGATCAATCAATTCGACTGGGACAACGTTCAAATATTAGACAAAGGAAATAACAAGAATGCTAGGGAATTTTTAGAAGCTCACCTGGTATTCCAGTGAATCATCAATCAATAGACACATAGAGAGAGACAAAATTTATCAACCGATAAGAAAGAAACCTCATACACACAAAGGGTCAAAGTTCAAGTCAAAGAAACAATCAGTCCTAATACAAGTAACCTAAAAGGTGTGAAAATATGTAAAAACAACCAATCACGTCCAAGGTCACCAGGAGAGATGATTAGTGAACTCGTGGAGAAATCTAAAAGCTCACTTTGTTAAATTGAAGTATGCACTGAAGATGCTTCCTAGTAGGGTAATGAAAGCTTCGAAAATTAACTATCCAGCTCAGAGAACACAACCACATCAAAATTTAAGATAATAATGCATTGGGGTTCAATTACATCACCCAAATAAACAATCACTTATCAGCGAGTGAAAGAATTTAAGTACATATCCAGAATTGCGAATTGAATAATAATAGTAATAATGACAATAATGTTAAAACGCATTGACATAATGCTGCTGATAAAAGATAGTTTCAAATGAATCAGAAATAATAATAACAAGAGGTAGAATAAAATATTGACAACTGAGTTTTTTTTAAATTTTTGATTTACAGCTTGATTCCACACTGTATTTTTGGTACAAGTATGGAATTTTAAGCATGGATATCGGTAGCCCAAATTTTGCAGGCCGACCATAGATATCAGGTGTGCGCCGGCGTGGGCTCGAACCCCGGACCATGTGCATGTTCGGCGAGAGTCCTAACCACTGTGCCATCGGCGCATAGATAAAACATATTTCCATAGTAGATTCAGTGTGACCACCATTTCCTTTTGTATACACACACAGAGACCTGGTTTATAAACTCTAATTGAGCAAGCCTCCACAGTTATAAAAACCTTCCTGTTTGCTTGTCTGCTGACAACCGTGAATGACTTGGCAGTGCATCAATATCATGTCCGTAGTCCACAAGATGCTTTATTGTACGAACTTTAAGGCACTTTGACTTCAGCTGTTTGCAACCACTTCAGTAAGTGCTCTGTCGTGTGAGTGGACAATCACCTTTCTTTATGGCCTTTGTATTTGTTTCCACAATCACACACTCAAGTTGGTATACGCAGTTTGTAGTGCCGAGGAGCGGTGACTGGTCTTTCCCAGATTGTTGAAACAGCCACTAGGTAGTGGTATTGAGGAAGACGAATTTTGTAACATAATAAGTTCTCCCGATAGCTTTGTCGAGTTTTCGTTTGATTACTTCTTGTACACATCATCTCCTTTGAATAGCAAACTGATATTATTATTATTGTATCCTTTAGTTCTTAGAGGAACATAGGGCTTCAGCCGCGCACCTCCATTGCCTTCGGTTTTCTGACAACCTTTTCACCCTGCTCCAGGTCTGTCCACATGCTTTCATCTCCTCCTCGCATGACCTCCTCCAAGTCACCCCCCCATGGACGACCAACTCGCCGCCTCCCTTTCGGGTTCTACTCGAGCAATGGCTTGTCTAGTGATGTCACTCGATGGTTTCCTCAGCGTATGGCCAGCCAATCCATCTCCATTTCTTCCTGACTATTTGTTTCACAATCGGTTCCTGGTTGGTTCGCTGCCAGAGATCCCTGTTTCTGATCTTTTCTGGCCATCTGATCTTGAGTATTGAGCGAAGACAGCTGTTAATGAAGGTCTGAAGTTTGTTTGAGATGCACTTTATGATGCGCCAAGTCTGTGATCCGTATAGTAGCACTGACTTCACTTTGGAGTTGAAGATCCGGATGTTATTTTTGATGGGTAGTGCTGTTGACCTCCACACAGACTTGAGAGTAATGAAAGCTTGTCTTGCTTTTCCGGTTCTGGCTTTGATGTCCTCGTCAGTTCCGCCTGTAGTTGAGACGATGCTTCACAGGTAGGTGAAGGAGGTTGTTTCTTTCAGGTTCCTCCCATTTATGCTGATTGTTGTCTGTTGTTGTTGTGGCTGTTGATGTTGTCTAGGAATCTTCATCACCTCTGTTTTATCTATGTTCACGTGAAGTCCTATCTTTGATGCTTCTTCTGCCAACTTGTTGCTTTTCACTTGCATATCTTCCAGTTTGTGGGAAATCAGACATATATCATCGGCGAAATCCAGATCCTCCAAGTTTTTTGTGTGAGTCCATTTTATGCCCGTTCCCTTGTT